CGGGCCCCGGCCAGCTGCACTTCAACCAGGTACTGCGGCGGGGGCGGCGCGGGGCACAGGCGGCGGGGGCTCGCTTTGCTGTACGAACCGTTTTTATTGGGGAAAAAGGCTGGGGAAAGAATTTCCTTACGTGTTTCAAGTTTGAGGTGGTACCTGATTGGTGGCACTTGAGTTTCACGAGACCAGGTGGTGAGCCAGGGTTAAAGGGCCAGCGTTCGGGGATTTGGCGACCAGAAATGGCAGTTTCGTGCTTGCGGAGCTGGGAGTTCAGGCGCTTTTGGGTATAAGACCGTTTATGGTGTAGTCGGGAGGGGGCCACTGTAAGGGACGCTTCATAGGTAGGAATAACATACGTAAGAATCTTCCCAGAACGTTTCCTACAGCATTGGCTAGGACGAAGGTATCGCGGCCACTCGCGTTCACAGTGGCCCGGTGGGTAACCGCTGCCTCGGGAAATCAGACGTGCGGTCGTGCATTTCGGGCTCCTGCGGACCTTACACCGGGAGGCCTGCAGAGCCCCAGGGCCTGTTGTACAGATGGGCAAACTGAGAAGGCCCTGAGGTCAGATCACAGGACGGTGCCTATAGTGGGTAGCAGACTGCTTTAGAGAGTTAGCTTCTCCTGATATGTCAGCTCCAGAGTTTGGTTCTAATATTTATTAAAATAAAAAAAAATACATTTGTCAAATGCATAGTTGTATCTAGACACGCGATAATGCCTCGAGTTTAAACACAGCCTTGAACTAATTAGGAACAATTAAAGCTCATTCCTGTGGGCAAATGCAACAATTAAATTGCAAAAAAGGGAAGAGGTGGGTTTCTAATTATTCACGTATTCCCTGATGGGGAATTTCTTAAAGTTGTGAAGTAGACAATGTGTGTGTGGTCTGCAATCTTCCAGGTATGCTGATTCCCTTTTAAAACCTCAGTGAACTTGGTGCTTCCATTTCTGCCTTTCTACACCTGTCACAACGCTCACTGATGTTGAATAGCAGAGTCAGCATTTCCCACGGTGTTTTTGGGTGGTATTTATTGAGGGTAGAAGTTTCTGTGATCTGAGGTGTTGAGGAAATGCAGATACTATTAATCTATTCATCTCTCCTCTGGGACATGTGGCGTTTCCCAGCAAATCTGACCCTAGACAACAGCGAAGGAAACATTTATCAGACATATTCTTGATGATAGTGCTCAGAGAGGTCGGTATCTGCTGTTAGAAACATCTTACTTTAATTAAAATAGTACTCAAGAAGAAGTAGAACATCCTAGGGTGGTAGGGTAGCAGGGGTTCTATCTGAGGTGGTAGGGTAGGAGGGGTTCTAGGGAAAACAGCCAAGCTGACCCTGTTCTTTCCAGGTAGGTGTGGCCCACATGCAAGGAAAGAGGCTGAGGGACTTGAAGCTGCCTATCTGTAACCCCCACACTGTTTTGACTTCAGTGATCTCCTTATCTTGCATTGTCTGAAGGTACAATGATGAATTGCAAAAGGACAAAGGTCCCCAAGCCACCCTTGCAAAGACACTGGAAAGCAGGCTTCAATTATTTAGGAAAGTTGGCTGAGTTTACCAGCAAGATGGTTCTCAGTTTATTAGCAGGTAGGATGTCTCAGTAGATAAATTATATATGTGTTGACACTTTATTTCTCATTTTCCTATTTGCATATTTAATTATTCTCATTATGGCCTCTGTGGGCATCAAAAAGAAACAGCCCGTAATTAACTTGGAAACAAAGAGAAAGCCAAGGGAAACCTACCACTTTATCAGGCCTAATCAACATCTATTCCATGTTCAATAAAGTCCTTTTGAACAACAACAACAAAAACCCAATCATTGATTAAATAGTGACAAAAGAAGTGCCAATCCAGAAGAGTTTATTAATTTGCTGCTAATTGGTGGCCTTGGGCCAGAGCAGTCATATCTGCTCAAATTTGGAGTAACACGCAGGGCTTCATGCTTCCATTCCTCTAAACATGTAACTCCAGTTTCCTCACCTGCCAGGGAGTAGAACAAAGAGCACGGGGGCTGTGAGAGCAAAGCATTCCATAGTGTGGAATGCAAGGCCATTTAAAGCTTCAAGTCCTCAGTAAAACATAAACCTGAGACTGTGGCTGGGCCCCACACCCATCAGGGTTATTGGCAAGAAGGCGTGTCGAGCTTACAGTGAACAAACTGCGGTGCTATGAAAGGATCGCAGATTTCACATGGTGTCTTGTACCCTTTCTTCTTCCCGGTGTTCTCCAGTTCACCATGTGAAAGACGAAAGGCCTAGCCAGTCAGTTGCCTGCATTATTTTCAGTGGACCAATGTGAACGCTTGACCAACAAGGTGGAACCTCCTCTCTTCTAGCCCTTCTCTTTATTGCATCGCCTTTCTGGGTCACCATTTTGGGAAGCTTGTCTGAGAAACTAGATTTGTGCTTATTTGGGTGAACGTCCTAAGCCCGGATTCAAATAATCCACTTTTACTTTACCTATGCCTCAGCCTTCTTTTTTAAGTGGACAGGATCTCCTGTGAAAAACTTGATATTTTTGACTTTGAAAAGGCAAACAATGGAATTTGTTCCTATGGGCCAGTGATTTATTGACTCTTCTACAAGATCTAGCCACAAATGACATTGTTTCTTTGGATGAGGGCTGTGATGTTTATTAAGTAAACTTATCCCAGGTAATAGACTACTGAATTCTGGAGATTTGTTAAACAATTCTAGAAGGCTTTATATATGTGTATATATATAATATATATTATATAATATATATATATATATATAAATATTTTCCCCCCAGTATCCCTAAGTACTGTTAAATGAACTCATTGCCTTAGGAAATCGTAGTGACCCAAGTTCCAAGTGGAGACAATGCAATGATTGAGTTTATTGTTTTGCTTATAGCTACGGAAGGTACAGGGTAGGAAGAAGACCTCGCCCACGGGGTTCTGCCTTTCTACACCTGTCACAACGCTCACTGATGTTGAATAGCAGAGTCAGCATTTCCCACGGTGTTTTTGGGTGGTATTTATTGAGGGTAGAAGTTTCTGTGATCTGAGGTGTTGAGGAAATGCAGATACTATTAATCTATTCATCTCTCCTCTGGGACATGTGGCGTTTCCCAGCAAATCTGACCCTAGACAACAGCGAAGGAAACATTTATCAGACATATTCTTGATGATAGTGCTCAGAGAGGTCGGTATCTGCTGTTAGAAACATCTTACTTTAATTAAAATAGTACTCAAGAAGAAGTAGAACATCCTAGGGTGGTAGGGTAGCAGGGGTTCTATCTGAGGTGGTAGGGTAGGAGGGGTTCTAGGGAAAACAGCCAAGCTGACCCTGTTCTTTCCAGGTAGGTGTGGCCCACATGCAAGGAAAGAGGCTGAGGGACTTGAAGCTGCCTATCTGTAACCCCCACACTGTTTTGACTTCAGTGATCTCCTTATCTTGCATTGTCTGAAGGTACAATGATGAATTGCAAAAGGACAAAGGTCCCCAAGCCACCCTTGCAAAGACACTGGAAAGCAGGCTTCAATTATTTAGGAAAGTTGGCTGAGTTTACCAGCAAGATGGTTCTCAGTTTATTAGCAGGTAGGATGTCTCAGTAGATAAATTATATATGTGTTGACACTTTATTTCTCATTTTCCTATTTGCATATTTAATTATTCTCATTATGGCCTCTGTGGGCATCAAAAAGAAACAGCCCGTAATTAACTTGGAAACAAAGAGAAAGCCAAGGGAAACCTACCACTTTATCAGGCCTAATCAACATCTATTCCATGTTCAATAAAGTCCTTTTGAACAACAACAACAAAAACCCAATCATTGATTAAATAGTGACAAAAGAAGTGCCAATCCAGAAGAGTTTATTAATTTGCTGCTAATTGGTGGCCTTGGGCCAGAGCAGTCATATCTGCTCAAATTTGGAGTAACACGCAGGGCTTCATGCTTCCATTCCTCTAAACATGTAACTCCAGTTTCCTCACCTGCCAGGGAGTAGAACAAAGAGCACGGGGGCTGTGAGAGCAAAGCATTCCATAGTGTGGAATGCAAGGCCATTTAAAGCTTCAAGTCCTCAGTAAAACATAAACCTGAGACTGTGGCTGGGCCCCACACCCATCAGGGTTATTGGCAAGAAGGCGTGTCGAGCTTACAGTGAACAAACTGCGGTGCTATGAAAGGATCGCAGATTTCACATGGTGTCTTGTACCCTTTCTTCTTCCCGGTGTTCTCCAGTTCACCATGTGAAAGACGAAAGGCCTAGCCAGTCAGTTGCCTGCATTATTTTCAGTGGACCAATGTGAACGCTTGACCAACAAGGTGGAACCTCCTCTCTTCTAGCCCTTCTCTTTATTGCATCGCCTTTCTGGGTCACCATTTTGGGAAGCTTGTCTGAGAAACTAGATTTGTGCTTATTTGGGTGAACGTCCTAAGCCCGGATTCAAATAATCCACTTTTACTTTACCTATGCCTCAGCCTTCTTTTTTAAGTGGACAGGATCTCCTGTGAAAAACTTGATATTTTTGACTTTGAAAAGGCAAACAATGGAATTTGTTCCTATGGGCCAGTGATTTATTGACTCTTCTACAAGATCTAGCCACAAATGACATTGTTTCTTTGGATGAGGGCTGTGATGTTTATTAAGTAAACTTATCCCAGGTAATAGACTACTGAATTCTGGAGATTTGTTAAACAATTCTAGAAGGCTTTATATATGTGTATATATATAATATATATTATATAATATATATATATATATATAAATATTTTCCCCCCAGTATCCCTAAGTACTGTTAAATGAACTCATTGCCTTAGGAAATCGTAGTGACCCAAGTTCCAAGTGGAGACAATGCAATGATTGAGTTTATTGTTTTGCTTATAGCTACGGAAGGTACAGGTTAGGAAGAAGACCTAGCCAAAGGGGAAGGGGGTGCCTGCTGCCCAGGACTGGATATAGGTCTGACCTGTGGAGGGGAGTTTCTAGAATATAGGAGAAGCCAAAATGTCTCAATGACCCTGCTCATTCACACCCACAGGAGTTAAGAACGG